GCAGACTGCTTGACACCTTAGGCCGCCTCTGAGAAGCATCGTGTCTTTCTTGTTTTCCTTTTAAACTGCTTAACTAATTACATGGCGCTGTACTGTGGCCCTCTTCAGTTTCTCTATAGTTTTCTAAACTGTGGGCTTTAAATAACAAAATTGGTGCATTAAATGGGACAAAGATTTCATGATAGTAATTTCACGGCTAACTAGATTCATGACCCTTTTTCCTCACAGGAGTGGTACCAAATAAACCTGTAGAATTATGGAATTGTCCAAATATGCAATATAATCCTCACCATAGCTGGAAATGGAGCAAAAATAGTTCAAGCTAAACTGAACCGTTTCAGAGCAATGCCTTTAAGCTTGTTTTCTCCCGTGGCTGTGAGGGATGTGCTCTTGTTTCCTAATCTCTGGTTCCGAGTAGACCAAAGCAGGCTCCTGAGAGGGGCGGCACCCAGCACCTGGGCTTCCGAAGGCCTCCTCCAAGGTGTTGTGATGGGACCCTCTGTCTTTCGAGCTGATGTCAGTATTTTTGTATAGGAGAGGTGGGGGAATCTGTTCTTTCTGGGGTGTATGAAGGGAGAAAGAGTGGATATTGTAGAGCAGTTATCTAGTATTGTGCTCTGGGAATTGTAACGTGTGCTGTGGTTTGGGTCTCAAATGTCCACTAATGGTGCCTGTGTTAAAGCTTTAGTGTCCAGGTCAGTGCTCTTGGGAAGGGGGAAAGCCTTCGGGAGGTAAGGCCTGGTGGGAGGTCCTGAAGGCACCCGAGATGGGTCCTTACAGGAATTGTGGCCCCCTTCCGTCCTCTGCTTTCTGGCTGTGATATGTATAGCCTTGTTCTGCCTTATATTTTGGACTCAGGACCAGAGAACCAAAGCCAACCAATTATGAGCAAGAACTTTCAAAAATGTGGTCCCAAATAAACCTCTTCTCTTTATAAGTCAATTATCACAGATGCTCTGTTACTCTGAAAGAAAGCTGACCAACACTGTATTAGTCAGCTTGTGCTACGTCTCAGGCAGTTTCCCTCGTCATTGAGGAAAATGCCAGACACCCACAAGTTACAGGAGGAGTAGTTTAGTTTGGCTTACATTTCAGAAGTCCCAGTCCATGAAAATGTCATGGTGGAAAGACCAGGACAGAGGAAAACTAGTCAGGTTATAGCCACCAGGAAACAGAGGAAGAAAGGGGGAGCCGAGAGGGAGATGTACAGTGAATCACCTCTCTGACCAGGGCCAGGCCCATCTGCTGATGGCAAGTCTGCTAGATGACCATGTTGTCCAGGACTCTTCCCAGAGCTCTGCCCGTGAGTGTGAGTGCTTGGGGGACACCTAGATATAAGCCACAACAGGCTGTCCTGACAAAGTACTAGAGACTGCACTGCTTAAATGACAGATTTTTTTTTTTCTCACAGCTCTGGAGATTGCAAGGTCTGAGGTAGATTCCAGCATGGTGGGCTGTGTGAAGGCTCTCTTCTGCTTGCAGGTGGCCATATCTCTCTGCGTGCTCTCATGACACACAGGCATGGTGGGCAGGAAAGGTGGGAAGGCCTTGTTTAAGGACAGTTCATCCTGAGAGAGGAGTTGGGTGGCCAGAGCCATTGCCCAGATGGATGGAGTCTGGAAAAGGGGAAGGAGGGGCTCAAGCAAACAGACATCTGGCCCAGCTTTATGACTGACAGGGCCTCTAAGCCATACAGCAAGCTCAGAAAATGATGCCATTCTTGACAGGATTTTTAAGTTGGCCAAAAGAGAAAGACTGGGAGATAGAGACATAAACTTAGTGTCTGGATTGTTAAACATGAGATACTGGGTGGCATTCTAGCAAGACACCCACCTGAGAAATTGCTTTGTAACATGATTGTGAAATGATTTGGAGGGCATGATGTGTCTGTAGAAGGTGATGGATTTGACCTCAGAAAGGCTGTCTGGCATGTTTATGTATTGGCAGTCTAAGTCTGGAGATTCTAATGGTGCTGCGAAGAAGAATTAGGAGACAGAGAGATGTAGGAGATATCAGTCAAGGATTGTTCTAGTGTTGAAGCCGGGATACAAGGAAAGAGAGACCAGGCAGTGTCCTTAAGAGTGGAGGCCGGAGAAGTGTGAGGTGGTTGTGTATAATGGTCAACACTGTGTTTGCAGAATCCTTGAACTTTGGGCAGAACCTGATGGATGTAAGAAGGGGGAAAGCACACTGCAGAGGTGACCGGGGTGGGGGTGAACTAACATCTGTGACCTTGTGAGACGTCAGTTCAGTAACATGCTCCTCCCAGGTCTGGTGAGGCCCTTTTGAATCCAGGGTGAAAGCAGCCAAGGACTCCCAGCAGGTCCCCAGCTGCCTGCCCAGCCCTCAGGGCCAGGTTGGAGCAGCTCTTCTTCCCAGGAGATCTCATACTGAAACACCTTCCTTATAAGGTCCTCCTGACACATCGCCCTGTTGGAAACAAGACATGGCTTCCTGTTCCTTCCTGGATCTGGTTGGATATAAGGGAGGAGGGAGAGGATTTGGGTCTGAGTGACAAGAGGGAGGGAGACTGAGGTTACAGGAGGAGCACTGCGGCTGGGAGGTGGAAGGAAGCAGGCGATTCCTCTCAGGCCATGGTGGCTGGAGAGTGGCAGGCAGCAGGAGCAGAGCCAGGTAGATGGTGGGAGGTATGGAAGTCAGGGAGGAACTCTGGGCCGCAGGAGACACCAGAGGATGGAGTCCCAGAGCCTCAGGAGAACTAAGTCTCTTAGGGAACCATGGGGAGAGGAGACAAAAGACACAGCCAAGCTCTCAGATCTAGTCAAAGGGAGGAGGATCCTAGGTGGAGGTTGAGTTGTAGAGCATCAGGTAACAGGAAGAACATCAAGCAAGTGACCTTTCAGGAGCCTGAAAGAGCACGTCCCATGATGGATGATGGCAGCCCATCCTGCAGGGAGCCAGGTGGGACTTGGCTGCCTTTGATGACCTCTTGGGTAATCCTGGGAAGAATAGATTATGTTAGGAGGTAGGAACAATGTTTCCATGATCCCTTAGGCATAGCCAGACACCAGGAGACCAGGCACGTGGGGACCAAGCCCGTGTCTGACTCAGGAGCCTGGGCTTAGGGTAAAGGAGGTTCTAGCACCAGGCAAGTGCTGAGCAGTGGCTCCTCCACAGGAGACAGTACACAGCACATCCATGTGTTAAGGATGACAGGAGGATCTGAGAGGAAAGGATGCCTGCTGGCAGGACCTACACCAAGGGCTGGGCCATGGCTTGCCCTGGGAAAGGGTGTGCTGCCCAGAATTGGGCTATAGAAAGTTCTAGAACCTTGTAGAAAACACTGCTTATCAGTAAGGTGGGGAATTGGCTGCGAATGGAAGGGACCAGAGAGTGGAGGCTTTGTGGTGGGCACAGCCAGTGCGTGGCCAGGTGGGGGTGGGGGTAGCGTTGCTCATTCCACAGGTAGTGTTTTCATCCCTCTCTTCTCTGACAGCTCAGAGAAGCCACTTGCACCTCGTGGAGCAGTTGCAGGCTGTGAGCCTCTAAAGAGGAAACACAGCTCATTGTCACCCACTCCTTTGTTCTGTGGGATCCTGACCAGCCCATAGCAGGTGGAAAGGGCTGAGGTGACATGACCCTCCTTGATAGTTTCTAGAGTGTCTCACCTTCGTGTACCACCTGTCATTCCAGGTGCTGCTGTCTGGACTCATTGGTGTCGTGTCATGGAAGAGGCCTCTCTCCCTCGTGGTAAGTGACACTTGGACCTCAATGTAACCCTGGCCAGGGCTGTGCCTGCAGAGGTCTGAGCAGAGCAGAAGCAGTGGTGAATTGAATTGCAGCTTCTTGGCGGGAAGTGGGCCACAGACTTTGTAGCCACTGCCTGCTGGTGGGGCCTTGGGAACCGACGGGAGTCCTCCAGTTGCATTTCTGTGTGTTCTCTTAGGGTGTTCGTAGCACATCTTGTCCTTGTTGGTTGGTTTTGGTGCCCTCGCTTGAGGATGTCCTGTGAGCAAACATATTTTCGAAGTGTGGGTACAGGCATTTTCTTCAGTTCCTAAGCCTGTTCATGCTATACATGCCATGCGAGACCGCACGAGCAGCCATGGTGTGTGTGAGTTTAAGCAGTGCTAGCCTTTTGTGTGCATTGGAGACCCAAGTTCTGTGAGGGTGACAGGAAAAGAGCCCCCTGGAGTAGGAGAGTCGCTGGCCATGGTGCTGAGGAAGGTGCCACCTGGGGGATGGGATAGGGTGGTGGTTGTTCTCTCTGGAAAGCCTGGGGCAGACCTGGGTCTATCGATTTGCATGCCTGCTCTTCTCTGCGTATGCATTCATATATTGATGTGTGTGTGTCAAGATCACAGGAAGAGATTCTCCGGGCCTTGATGGGTAACGAAAACGGCAGCACAGTTGGTTTTTTCCTTTTCTATTAATCAATTATTTATAACCTTGTTTCTAAGTGGTCAGAGTTGGGAGATAATGACCTGTACTAAATGTTAATGGAAAGAGAAGAAAGCCAATTTGTTTGTGGGAGGCCTGCCCTCCATGAGAACAGCCGTAACATCTCAAAAGGCATTGGGGGAAAAAAGAGGGATGTATTGAGTGCGGTCGTACTTTCTGTGGTCACCCATATAAGAAATCTGCTTTTCATGACTTTTTATGTAGAAATATCCAGCTGCATGCAAAATTAGAGGGGCTACTAGGATGGGCCTCTGTGTACCCTTTATCCACCTTGAGCAAAGGCCAACATCTGGCCCGCCTTACTCCTCCAAACCCTTCTACACCCTGACTGCTCCTGGATAGATGAGTTGGGAACAGTCCTGGCTTGTGGGTCAAGAAGCCGACACCCTTGCAGATACTGAAAGCAAGATAGCTGTGTCCACAAAGAACGTGTATTTCTATGCTTCTGCGGTACTGTTTTTAGCTGTGCTACTTGTGTCTTGTGATCGAAGCAGTGGTCTCCCCTGCACTGAATAAAAGGAGCTCTACACTGTGCTTAACCCAAATTAGGAATCAGATTATACACCTCTGATTAGACTGTTTTCCAAAGGAGTCAGTGAAATACTTTGTTCTGGCTTATGTGTCGCTAATGGGAAGTCTTCCACGTCATGGTAGGTAATGTAATTAAATAAAGCTTCAGCAATCCAGGCATGGGCTGCATACTAGGCCATGGGTCCTCACCAGTGCTATGGAGGGATGAACAGCCATGCCACGGAAGACAGTCTCTTGATTTTTAAAAAATAACAAATTACAGTTTCCTTAGCACAACTTTAAAAGTCATATAAATTATCTTTAAACAACTTTTCTATAAGAACATGAGAATCATATAGATCTAGTTGTGGTTTTAGTATTGTTTGCATTTTATGTTACGGTGTTTGAGTAATTTGACATTTGGTTTACTTTTGTCACTCAACCTTAAATAGGTAAGTGTGTACCTAGGTAGGTGAGTGTGTACAAGAGCTGAATTAGAGACACAGCCTCTGGCAGCCTGCACTGCAGACCTCAGTGACAGTCTGTTCTGGTCGTGGCTCTGGGTCTGCAGATACCTCTACATGGACCTTGGTGACCAAGCACCACACTGGGCCCCTCACACCCTGGGATGCCTTCTCTCGTACTGCATGGAGTCTGCTGGGCACACAGAAACCCCCCAAGAAATGTCTGACTTACCGAAAGGAGTCACCCTAGAGGTCTTCAGGGCTCCTGGACACTCATAGATTTATTTCTTGTAGCTGTGATGGAAGATGGCTCTCTATCTTCCTGGGGTAGATGAGAACTTATAAATGCACTCTAATGTTGTCCCTCTACAGAATGCCAAGGAAGTCTGGTATTTCAACTTCATTACCTTTAGGATTATATTTTAGGGTTAGCTGAATAGCAGGATGATGTCAACAAATCTGGCCAGATTCAATGTCTGTTCTTCCTTCATTGACCTAATAATATTTTTAACAGTGAGTTGTAAGATTGAGCTAGCTTGCTGGAAGACGTTTTGAGAATACAGCACTGAGTAGGGGAAACTCAGGTAAAGCCTTGTGCACCTGCTTCATTTAGGAGACCACACTGAGGGCCTGGGAAGCAGTGGGGGCTGAAGTTTGTGGAGCAGAGGAGAAGAGTCATTCAGGAGAGGGATCTGGGGATCTGCAGAGGACACCTGCGAGCATGCAGTGCTGCTGATCAGTTCTGTTCTTTCTTTTTTTAAATTAAGGGTCTCCCATCACAAAGCATCAGATGAGATGTATGTCACATTATTATCCATTTCACATTCAAAACCAACCTACAAACTATCCTTTCTGCAGCAGCTTCACTGAATGTTCAGTCCATCACAAAACAAACCCGACCAGGATGCATGAACTGCACATGGAGAACAGGCCTCCTGGGTCTTCTTTGCAGTTCCATAGAAGGTGACACCAAGTAAGATAAGTGAGGCTCCAGTTCAGATGCCTCCATTCCCCAGCCCAGTATCCTGATCCAGCGGCTGCCAAAAGTAGAAGGATTGTAGATCCTTTGTCAGTGTCAGCCATGTGAATGAGTCATGGCCATTGCTTGGCCAATGTGCTCTCTGTGAAGGCCTGAGAGAGTGTTTTCTCTCCTTGTGACTCTCCTTAGGCACACTCTACATCATCAATCACTTTCCTCTTTGGCCCCATAATCTCCTTGATCAGAAAATTTGGGACACTACTGAGTTATATGGCGTTACAGTACAAGTTCTCATATGTCCTGAGTCTTAGTTGACCTTGGAAGGCTAAACCCAAAAGGTTGGCTTTCCTTGCAGCCCTCCTTTTTCTCTAATTTTGTTCTGCAAACTTAGGTTGTTAACCCTCCAGAAGAGAAGCTTAGGGTCTCAGGATAAATCCTGAGGGGATTTGACTGACCTATCAGATCCAAAAGCTACAACTCTTGTTGCATAGGTCTTACTTTACCTTGGTCTTAACCATCCAGCAGAAAAGTATAAAAACAAAGTATAAGAAGTAAAGCCATGGTGTTATGTTGAGCTGTAGGGGACTCAGGTCAATAATTTCTGACATTGCCAGTCAAGCAGAAGACTCAATATTATTATGGACTACTGGACTCTTTTAGAATATTTTGCTGAGTTAACACACCTATAATACTCAAATGACAGAACTAAACAAAAAAGGGGATACAGATGAATGTCCATTTTGTATTTGTGTATTCAAAATGGTTAGGATGATATATAGTTGCATTCTCTTAATGAATAAAGGGATTTGTTCTAATAGAGTTTGTAAATAGGATATCATGTCTGCACCTTGTACAACAAATAACCACTAGGAAGAGAGTATGCAATGTGTTAATTATTGAAACTGTCCTACCAATTTGATTTGAAACTGTCTCATTGCTATTTGTTTCTCAATAAAGTTATGGAAAAAAAAGCAGAAGGAATTGAGTAGGGGGCCTGGTCATGGGGAAAGTGGCTATGGCTGGCCTGACAGAGAGGGAAGGGAAAGTTTTCACTTCTTCACAATGTGAATAACATCCTCGTCCTCCAGTGTATGGTCTTTTACCCACGTTCTGAGGATTGTGGTTCACAGAGAGGCCCCAGATCAGAGCATATTTAAATTTTCTGATAAGATTTTTGTGAATCTTCATGCAGAAATACTCCATTGTGGCCCTGGAGTAAGGCAGCACCCCAGGAGAATCTGGTAACTGCCCTTTAGGTTTGATATAGATTCTCACTAGTTTCAGATAGTCCCAGATCTTCGCCAGTAAGTCATCAAAATTCCAGTGGTGATGGGCAGAGATGGGCACACAAGTGTGCACCTTACAGAGGATGCCCACTTCCTCAATGGAGAGCTGGCCAATCATGTTTAATACATAGATACAAGGGATATACACTCTGTTTCCTTCCACCACATCAGTGAGGTTGGCAGCTGTGGCATCACTACGCAGTCACGGCAGCATTATAATTTTCTATTCAGTCAGAATGCTCTTCACAGTTTCAGCATCCAGCTCACTGAGGGCAAGTGGCTGTGAGATTAATGTCTCCCTTGTCTTTCTTCTTAAAGCCAATGTTAGGAGGTTTGCTATGCAAGTGAATGCCAAGCCTTCCAGCTCATTTTCAATTACTTCTTGTGTCCCAAAGGTTTCCAAGACATCCACAATAATCAGGATCAAATTACATGTACGGGCCACTGCAACGACTTGACGGCCTCTACCTTTCCTATCGTTGGCACCTTCAATGATACCTGGGAGATCTAGGAGCTGGATCTTGGCACCTTTGTACCTGATGACGCCAGGCACAGTCATCAGAGTAGTGAACTCATAGGCTGCCACCTCACAATACACTCCTACCAGGTCACTCAGCAGTGTTGACTTTCCCATAGATGGAAAACCCACAAACCCAATTCGAGCATCGCCTGTCTTGGCCACATCAACCCCTTCTGGCCCACCACCACCACCACCTGTTTTTTGTTTTATTTATTTTATTTTTTATGTATTTAGTGCAGGGTCTGCAGGGTTCTCACTACATAGAACAGACTTGTAATGATTCTCCTATTTTCAGCCTCCCAAGCACTGGGATTTCAGGCGTATACCACCACGTGTAGTCCCAATCAGTGTCAGCACGCCCCAGGGATGGGGCCAGCACGGCATGCCAGGGATCAAACCCCGGCTGCTGTGCTCTGCTAAAGCAGGTGCTTTAGTCCACTGAGCTATCTGGCCCTGTAATGAGTTCTCTGCAAAGCTTAGCAAGGCAAGCCTTAAGCAGCCCTAGGTGAGGTGCTGTGGGAGCCATCTTG